AACCCCTTTTTCATTCGTTCTTCATTCTGATTGTTTCTAAAACCCTAGAATTGATGTTTTACAATTCCTTTTCATTTGTTAAACTTAATATTCATGTGTTTGTCCGCTTGCTGGAATAACACAGCATTCCATGCCTCTTCCTTGATTACAGGCTGAAATTCGGTAACTGCATCATAATTTAAAAATTTATGATCTTTAGCTTATTATTTGCTATTCAATATTAATATCAACAAATACTTATCATAAAAGTAATCATATTTATAATACAGAGAATTCCAGGAAATTTTATCTTATATAATAATTTATTCGACAAATTTCCTACTCATGACAAAATATTATTAAAAACACAAAGCAATAACGAGATATTTTACTATAATAGATGGTACTAAAATAATTGTATGGTCATGATAAATTATGTCATAATACGGAAACAATTTGCAACAAAAAAATCAATCCTTTCATTTTTGAAAATATTTAATCAGTTCGTTGCTTTTATTATTATTATTATTATTATTATTATTATTATTATTATTATTATTATTATTTTGCATTAAAACCAGCAAACGTTAGGGTTGAGGATTGAAAGTAGAGGTCGAGGTTAGGGTTAGGATCTAGATAAGGAGACAAGATTGGGGTTAAGGTCTAGACTAATATGGATGATGCCAAGATTAGAACTAGAGCCCCAACCAAATCCAACCTCAACCTCAGCCCCAATCCTGATCTTGATTTTAGAACACAAAAATTTTCAATTTCAAGAAAAACTGTTTCTTTTTTATTTTTTTAACAAGCAATAAAATTGATAATAAATCAAAAGAAAAAGCAAAAAATAATATTACTATAAGTATTTTCTAAAAATAAAACAAAAACTCACATTCTTTCAAAAATGAAAAAACAAAAATGTGCTTTAAAAAGTGATTTAGAACGAGGAGTAAGCTACTGAATAATCCTAATGTTTTCCATCTATATAATTAAATGACTAACTTTAACATTCTTCAGTTTACAAATGAAATTTGATACAACTTCTCATATTTAATATAAAGATGTAATTAACACTGACACATTTTTAAAATTATAGACTAAATTCAATACAACTCTCAATAAATGAACTTTTTGTTGGGAATGGTGTCCTAGAAGCATGAGATGTAATAGGATATTTATTATTTATTTAATAAAATAATTTATTCATCATTTTATGTGCATATATTTATGAATATTTTATGAATATCAAATGAAAATTCTGTGATTATTTATGTAACCTTAAACATTGTATATAAGTGTTGTATACGAGAGGATAATGTTTAAGGATAATAATCAAAAGGTGATGTTTGTAATAAATCTAATTAAAGTTTGGAATCTTTAATTAGAACATTACTAATACCTGTCATTCCCATTTAGAATGGAACGGTGTTATCCGCACTGTTAATATGGTGTGATATTGAATGAGTGTATTACGCATAATGAGATTATGTGAAACAGGAACAAAGACACAATATGAATTTCTAATTATTTCTGTTAAGTGTAGAAATTCTAATTGAGTCTACCGATGGTCATATATAGAATGGTCTTAATCCTGAGTTCTTAGCAAACTCTTATTTATGGATTTGTGTCTTTTGATTTGCTCGGTACGGATTTTGAGACCCTGAATCCTATTCCTTGTATTTTAGAGACAGGATGAAGTAGGTAGCTGGGAATGTTATTATACGAGATGAAATCCATTCCTTCTTGAGAAAGAAGTAGATAAATAATTCTCTTGAGTGTTGATTTGGTACTTGGATTAGTTAGAGCGCTTTGGTTCATGAGTATGTTTTATGAATCACTATCCATTAGAGAATCAATCGTATTCAAGGATGAAGATATAATTAGAGAGGTTAACGGATTCTACCTGACTCTAATTATGAATTATTTATGGAGGATTGATCTATATGCAATGACTATATCAAATGGACACTTCACAGTTTAGAAGTAATTTATATCTATAATTTTGAGAGTGCAATTCCAAGTTTATAGTGGAGTAACTATTAGAATTAATGGAATTAATTAATTAATTAAAGGGTTTAATTAATTATTAATTTTATTGGAGCTCGGGATTATAGGTTTATTAGTCCCCGCGTCGTCTTAGTAATTCTACCAGACACAAAGGGTAAAATGAGAATTTTAAAATTACAAGATTCTAAAATTAAACACTCAGAAATAATTAATTGAGAATTAATTATTATTTAAATAATGTGATTATTTAAATTTGAATTTGGACACATCTAGATTTATCCATTTAAACTTATTTGATAAGTTGTTCAATTTAGAATTCAAATTAATTTAAGTGTAACTTAAATTAGAATTTGAATTTGAGTCAAAATTGGTCTGCATGATAAATGATGATTTTCTGTTCCTTCCCTATCTGTTTTTGGCGCCACACAAGGATAATATCCTCTACACTTGGCCGGCCATAATGGATAAACATAGAAGAGGATATTTTGTTCCAAATTCAAATAGGAGATAATTAACAAGCTTTATCTTGGAGATAGAGATTGGATTCCTTCTAGAAGTTTGACTTCTACTATATAAATAAGAGAATGAAAGAAAATTGTGGAGACAATTTTTGAAAGCAATTTTTGAACTAATTTTTAAAGGGTGGCCGAAATTCTCTTATTGTGGGAAGGAAAAAAAAAATTTCCAAAAAAATTTCACATCGTGCATGCGTTGGTGTTTATGAAAATTTGAGCGTTTATTCTAAACCCATTTTGTCTCAAGTGTGCCCACACACACATCTTCGTAGATTCTAAGAATTGACGTGGAAGACATTGGTTTTCTAAACACAAGGCTTTGGAGCAAGGATTGTTCGAGGTCAAAGAACTCAAGTTATCATCCTAATCGGCCGCCAGGTATTATTCCTAATTATGTTCTTAATAAATAAATTAATGTGATTAATTTATTCCTGCATAAATTAATATAATCTATAGAGTATCTCAAAAGTTTTATGAAAATTTTTGTTATACTTGATCCACTATCCCCACGCTTCTGCATCCGAATTCGATTCAGAAACCAACACTTTTGCAATGAACTGTTACAAGATAGAAGAAAATTTTAGGTATTTTATATAAATTGAACTCAATATTTTAACATATGGGCTTGACTTTGCCCACAGATACCTTTCCTTCTACACTAATTGGTTATTTTAATTTTTCTTCATATATTAGTTTAAGATCACGTGCTATGCACGTCTAGAGTAATTTGTGTATTAAGTTCTAATTATCGTGGTATTATTAAAAGCATATAACATCTTAATATAAAGTCTCAAAAAGAAACTTAAATTTGGAAAAAAAAAATATGGTAAGTAGCCAAAAAAAAAAGATAAAAAAGGACTAAAATAAATAAATAAATAAATTTTAGGATAAAATGAACCAAAACATTAAAAAAAAGTTTCAGGACAAAAATTTAAAAGTGGTCAAAAAGGGACTAAAATGAATCTATAAATCAGTTTCAAAGCAAAAGAAATTAAAACGAAGAAATAAAGTTTTAGAAGAAAAATATAAAGAAGGGTAAAAAAAAGGACCAAAATGAGAAAATAAATAAGTTTTAGGGCAAAATAAATCAAAATAAAAGAAATATAAAATTTCAAGACAAAAAAAAAGATTAAAAAAAGGACTAAAATGAAGGAATAAATAAGTTCTAGGGTATTATTGGAAAGCAACCAAAAGAAAAAAATAAAATAAAGTTTCAGGATAGAAATAAAAAAGAAAGGGTAAAAAGGACTAAAATGAAAAATAAATAAACTTTAGGGTAAAAAACAAAAAAAATAAGAGGAGCCTTGAAAAAAGAAAAAAAAAAGAGGGGGGGGGGGGGGGGCTTTTAAAAAGGAAAAAAAAAAAAAAAAAA